TTTGTGCGGCGAACGTCAACTCTTCTGTGGAATACTTATAGACTGCTTATTTTATTTATTTTTTCCGTAACTAAATCCAGTTTACTGTCATCCTTATCCCCTTCTAAATGAAGAATATTTAAAACATAGGTCAAAACAGCAACAGTCTTCTATTGTAGTGCTACTGTTTAGTAGATTTCACCCTAACTCGGAAACAGGTTAACCCATTGGTGAAACAAGATTTATTAGATTGCTTAACTCAAAACTATTTTGAGTTAAATTCTTAGGTTTACATCTCTAAGGAAGGTTTGATTATGGGAAACCCACTTAGTCCACCTCAGTTCAAGTTTTCTCTGCACCAAAGATCAAACATATCTTCAGAATTGACATGGTTACTGAAAAAATTAATTTCTTTACACATAGGAAAAAAAGGTTTTAACACAAACATGGTCTTATTCATGGTGCAAGCCTTCTCCGTGCTCTATCCTGGTTCTCATGACTTCCGCCACTTTCCCTTGGATCACAATCTTCTCCATACCATCTTTCCGTATCACGTGACCAAAGTATTCTAGTATACGCTTCTGAATTGTTGGCAAGCAGCCTTCCGTCATTCCAAATATTTATTTCACTGCGTATGGAATTGTTTGTTCTGTGCTTCCGACCCATAAGTAGCGATGGATACAATTAACGCTTTGAGAAATCTCATCTTGCTCATTTTCTGAATGTGGTGGTCTTTTACAGATTTTAGCCAATCTACCCAAAGCTCCCCTTGATTTCTGGCTCGCACCTTCCTTTCCCAGTTTTCTAGAGCCCTTCTAATGATCCATTCTCGAATTGAACTGAGGTGGCTTTTACTTGATGAAAATCCATTTATCAAAATAAAATAAGAACTGTCATTATCAAATGACCATAAATACTTAATTAAGATTGTCAAAAATCGTACCGGTTTTAAAAAGTTTTTATTGCCGCCAGTGTGTTATTTGGAAAAATTGCTAAATGCTATTTGCCATTAGACAAATTAAGAAAAGTTTCATTTACAATTTTTCCCATGATCAGGTGACCCGGTAAATCGTATTTATGATGGTCACAGCCTCCTAGACACGATTTAAAAAAAAAATCGGAGCAGCTGTTGAATTGGTTTCACTTAGAAACCTAACGATGCCATCAAACATTGTAAAAAACATTTTAGATTCTACCTCATAGCCATTTTTAATGTTCTTATAATTAAGCAATTTTTTTATTTGTTCTTTCATTTTGGAGTTCTCTGCACGAGCTTAATTGGCATCTTCTTTCATAAACGAAAATTGTAACGGCTTACAGAATAAAGCGGACGTTGGTCTAAGATTGACCTACAAAACTGAGCCAATCACTTCAATGTTCAATTGTTGATAATACATAGCACCCTGTTCTAAAAGTGTAATAATCTCACGAATGGTTTTGAACGTTTTTTAAAAGTTCTCATTAAATTTTGTATCAATTTTTTTACATTGTTTAAGACGCTTGTTTAAAAACCCTAAAAACCCCGACGACCCAAGGTACATCATATGTACCTTGATGATGATTTTCAATTATGGAGCATTAATTTTTGAATTCTGTCTAAATTGTTGTAACACAGAACAATCTCATATGGATAACAGGTATAAATTATAAACAAATAGGAAATAATGTAAACTAATTTGCATTTATAATTTTTATGACGTGAAACGAAAATAAATCATTACTTTGGTACTTTGGTACAATTTTAAAAGAAAATTTAAAATGTTCCTTTTGTCAAAAAATAAAAAATATTCAGATTAATATTTGCGTATTTTGTTAAAATAATATTGCATATAAATATATACAATGATTGAATAAATTTTGGTTTCCGTTTATTTGCAATTTTATATTTTATATTTAGAATTTATATTTTGAATTTTTTATGTAGCATAACGCTAAATAAAGATTATATTATAAGGTTGTTCGGAAAGTCATTTCGTTTTTTCCCGTCAGAGGACTTAATTACGTTTTTTCGAAACCAACTTCACACTTAAGCCGCATAACCATTCTATGTCTTGAGAGCTGATATTGCAAGGCTTGTGTGTGAAAAAGTTCTATTAATTCTACGCAGTAGTTTTTGGTTGGTGCCCTTTTAAATATGGAGAGCAATAAGCAGCATTTTCGTCATATTTTACTTTTTTACTTCAGAAAAGGTAAAAATGCTGTCCAAGCGAGAAAAAAATTGACGGATGTGTATGGAGAAGGCGTGTTAACAGTACGCCAGTGCCAGAACTGGTTTGCAAAATTTCGATCCGGCAATTTTGATGTCGAAGATGCACCACGGTCTGGAAGGCCGGTCGAAGCTGACAAAGATGCGATAAAGGCATTAGTTGATGCAAATCGGCGAATAACCACACGAGAGATCGGTGAGAGATTAAATTTGTCGAATTCGACTGTTTATGGCCATTTGAAAGGCATGGGCTTAACCTCGAAGCTCGATGTGTGGGTGCCCCATGTCCTTACGGAGCGAAATTTGTGTCGTCGCGTTGACGTGTGTGATTTGCTCCTCAAACGTCAAGAAAATGATTCATTTTTGAAGCGGATTATTACTGGGGACGAAAAATGGGTTGTATACAACAATGTTAAACGCAAAAGGTCATGGAGCAGAAAAGATGAACCGGCTCAAAGCGTGTCAAAACCAACATTCACCAAAAAAAGGTGATGCTCTCGTTTGGTGGGATGTCAAAGGAATCGTTTTTTTTGAACTTTTGCGGGACAATACAACGATTAATTCAGAAGTCTATTGTCATCAACTGGACAAATTGAATGATTCACTTAAAGAGAAGAGGCCCGAATTAATCAACAGGAAGAGTGTAGTGTTCTACCAGGATAATGCGAGACCTCACACAAGTTTGGTCACTCGCCAAAAACTTTTACAGCTTGAATGGGACGTACTGCAACATCCACCATATTCTCCAGATCTGGCGCCTTCCGACTACTATTTGTTCCGGTCCCTGCAAAATTTTTTGGATGGCAAAACCTTTACCTCAAATGAAGATGTCAAAAACCACCTGAACCAGTTTTTTGCCAGCAAGGACCAAAACTTTTATGAGAGGGGAATTATGTTACTGCCAGAAAGATGGCAAAAGGTGTTGGACCAGAATGGCCAATATATAATTTAATAAAATATTTATTCATTATACGAAAACTGTCTTTCATGATTATGTGGCACATAAATTTCGTAAAACTCAAAAACTAAGTGTAGAGCAATCTCAAATGAGAAGCAGTTTTGTTTGGATTTTTTAAATAGACGTAATGAAAATAATTATTTTTTGAAAAACATTTTATGAACTGATGAAAGTTCGTTGTAATAGACAAAATACGCGATATTGGTCTTTAAATAATCCTACACAATTACACAAAATAAAAAAAAAAGTTTACTGGATATTATCTGCAACTCTTAGAGCACCGAATAGAACAACAATATTTAGAAGATTTACTCCTAAATACATCAGCGCGGATTGTGTGGCAGCAAGACGGTGCCCCTCCTCACAATGTTGTGCAAGTTAAAAATTTTTTAAACATTGAATATCCCTGAGGTTGGATAGATAGTTGGACAGCCCCGACTTAGCTTTAATGGATTTTCTCTCTCCTAACAGAGCTCCTTATAATAATGTCGTGGGGAACTTCAGCAAAGGATTTGAGAGGCAATCAATGAGTTTAGAGACAATCCGGAAACATTACCAAGTCCAATTAGAACGTATTCAGGAAAATGGTGGATATTTTATTTTTAGAAAGGTTCAAATTTTGACCTTTTTTTTTTCTCGCAATTGTTGGTTACTATCCAAACGCCTTTAATTATAATTGTTATTAACGTTAAAAACTTCCATAATCGACTGGAAAACGCTTAACGCGTTAATGTTTAATAATCAGAAAGCGCAATTGAAAGGAGGAACCTCGTGTAATGTCTACGAGACAAGGGTTTTAGTATGTCCGGGACGTAGTCGGGTGGCGGCTAAAATTATTATTATTCCGGAAGCGTAGGGAGAAACATGTTTGCGCATCTGTCACTTCTCGTATTAGCGGGCATGTCGGGAGTAAGATAAAAGTAATATCGGACGCGTGTGCCAAACGACACAAGCCTCGCAGACCAGGTTTTATCTCTTCTTTGTGACGTGCTTTTAACCTATCGTAGGTGTGTTAATCACGGCTCGGTGGCTTAACAGCGGCCACGACAAGTAGCGCTACACTGAATTTAAAAAGGTTATTGAGGGCGGTTTTAGCCGATATGGTCTGTTCATAGATATAAGAAATTGACCAATTGCAAGAAGAAGAATTATGCAAAATATGTGCGATGCTGACATTTTCTCGAGTGTAGATGAAAGTGATCAAGATATAATACGGCGTAAAATTTACCAGTTATACGCGAAACAAAGCGTGCCTACATTAAGTATCTTAATTAGGAGGCTTGAAATAGATGAAACCGGCGTTAAATGCGGCAGAACTGCCTTTTGGAAGTGTATTCAAAACATGGGTTTTAGATTTTAAAAAATTGACAAAAGGCACGTTTCGATGGAATCTTTTAGAATTCGGAAATGGCGACTGAACTTTTAGTTCTTATTTGTTTTTGATAAATGGATTTTCATCAAGTAAAAGCCACCAATTGTTTTTTTTTCGATCTTAGCTACCTAGATAGATACCGTAAAACTGCATAAGTCAGAGTTAAGCACAGCCTACTATTGTAATTATTAATTATTAAGAATTGCAAATATCTTTTTAACTACTTAATAAAAATAGGTGTGTGGCATTTCGTTTGACGGGGAATGTAATTAGAATACTATATTCTATTTAAAAAAAATGTAACTTTGTGTTATATCTCGTAAGAGAAAATTGGCGAAACTGGTAGATTTGCCCTTAAAAAGCCTTCAAAAAATCTCACAAATAAAAAAATTATAGACGGTTTTTAGAAACGCACATTTTTAAGAATCACCCTGTAGCTCAGAAACGCTCTGACATGAATATTTGTAGCCAGGAATCTGTTGCAGGTCGGATGGGTCAAGGCAGACACCAAGGCGATACAGGCTATCCATGATCACGTCATCACTCATAATCCGAGGATCTCAGTGTCCCACAACGACCACACCACATGGAACCTGCACATTAAAAATGTCCAGGAAGAGGACCGTGGTCAGTACATGTGCCAAATCAACACTGACCCGATGAAAAGCCAGGTAAACTAATTTGAATTTATAATGTTTATGAGCTGAAACTAGAATAAATCAATACAAAATTTAAAATGTTCGTTTTGCCAAAAAGTAAAAAATATTCAGCTAAATATTTGTCTATTTTGTTAAAATAACACTGCTTAAAAATATATCTATTTTACGTTTTATTATTATCTGACTGACAAATAAAACTATGTTTCTGTTTGACATAAAAAGATTAATTTCATATCTAGAATACAGAAAAATTTGTCAATTTACACCAAAATCTTATTGTATAGCCCAGCTGCTCCCCATTTTGAATTTTGTTCCACACTTTTGTTCAGTTTGCCTAATAGCAGTTGCAGATTGTTCAAAAGTCTGTTCATAGATAGAAGAAAGTGACTAACCGATACGAATTAAGGAAAGACACTGGCAAGCTGTAAGAATGAAATATGGTCGAACAGGTCCGTACTTTGCTTAGCATTTAATTATTTGGGATTTTGTTAGGAAAGATACTAAACAATATTTATTTATTTATGTTTAAATCTAAAACAAAATTACAAATAATTTTTATTACCTACTTAAATTACATAAAATTTTGCACATAATATATCAGTATCACTATCGCTATGATCGCCTGTTCTAATCATTATTTGTTCTATATTATTTGCGATAAGGATATAAGATTGTTCTGCTTTTTTATATGTTTAACAGAATTTTCCCAACTGTGTGTAGGGATGTTAAAAACTTCGGTTTCTATAAGTTTGAGGACATTGGAGTTAACACGGGGAAAAACATTGTTACGACGAATGGCAGATTTCAGTTGGTGCCAAACATATTCAATGGGATTAAATATACAGTGGTAAGGTGGAAGCCTTAAAACTGTATGCCCTAGATTTTTTGCATAATTATCACAGATGAATTCCTTTTGTAGGTTCAAGCTTTGTAGAACCTCAATTAATTGCTTTTTGGTATAATCTTCGTGAAAATAAATTTCGATATTATACACGTACTTTTGGATTGTTGCTTTTGTGTCACATGAGGAAGGGGTTTTAGTCAACTGTCTACTGTGATAACTTGCATTGTCCATTACAATGACGCTATTAGGAGGAATGTTTCGAACTAGTGTGTTTTTAAACCAACTTTCAAATAAATCAGCGATGGTGTCTTCATGGTAATCCAGAGAAGAATCGTTAATATTTTTCCATTTGGAATCCAAACATCTTTAGAGCCAGCATGCAAAATAGTTATTCTTTTACCTCTTTTTGATGGCGCGTTTGTTTTACACTTATCAGTTGAGTCAACCCAACCCTTTTCCGGGGTATCATAAGTGCCGAACCAGGTTTCATCCAATTAAATAATTGGCCTTTGTTGTTCTCTGTAAATCCTAATTTTTTCTAGATATTCCAGTCGCCATTTCAGAATTCTCAAAAGTTCCATTAAAACTTAATTTTTAAGGGTCACGAGCAAAAAAACTAGGAAAATTTTTAGGTTGCATGAAAATAGGCTTTTACTGTCAAACTGAAAAGTCATATTTGTTCTAGTTTTTTTCTACGGGCGATAGTACGTATTCTCATGAAAGAGATCTTACCGACGAGAGTTTAATGAGTTTTGTATTTAACGAAATAAAAAACATAAATGTATATCACTTTCATGAGGGTACTATCAGCGTCAAATTAAGCCTTTAGGTAAAAGGCGGATACGTACAGATACGTAAAACCTGTCTTTCTCAAATCTAAAATATTTTCAGATGCGGATAAAATTTCACACAAATACCAAAAGAATGTGAGAATTCTTCGTATGTCCTAATAAACATCTTACGAGCATACTTATCTGATATACTGTACAAACTACTTCTATTCTACAAAGCAGAGTAACAATTTTTTATTATTCTTCAATATAATCCCCCTTAACGTCAATACACTTATTACATCTCTTTATTAACGAGTCAATCAATCTTTTAACTCAAATTCGTCGTTAAACCGCCGTCCACGTAAGTCCTTTTTCAAATATCCAAGCAATAGTCGCTGGGAGCCACATCTGGACTATAGGGAGGATGATCTATTTGTTGGAACCCACACTCTAAAATTCAACAAAATGGCAGCTTGTGCAACACGTGCATTATCGTGGTCAGTTTTCCTCGACGTTTTACACATATGCCGTCTCGCAATTTATGTAATAATGTTGCGTAATATTTCTCATTGACAGTGGTATAAGTTTCTTTAAAATCTATCAAAAGAATTCCTTCACACTCCCAAAAGGTCGTGGCCATCTCCTTTTTTGTTGACTGGCAGACTCTGAGTTTTCTTGGAGGTGATTCACCCGCCACTCCATTGATACTTTTTTCGATAGAGGGTCATAATGGAGAGCCATTCTTTCATCTCCCGTCACAATAGTTTCCATCTCAGGCTTCGGTTCCGACCCACAGAGTTCCCAAAAAGACCGTGCACACTCGACACGGCGTTGTATTTGAATAGCCGAAAGGTTTTTAGGAACCCATCTTGCCCTAACCTTATGCATACCTAAATGATCATGCAGGATTCGACGAACATTTGGATCAGTAATTTCTGAGATTTCCTTGACCTTTAAACGTCGATCACCTCTTCCACAATAGCAACAATATCTTCCGTTATGACCTCCACTGGTCGACTAGTTCATGAATCATCTTCAAGGGAATCCTGCTCCATTGGAAAAAGTTTTGTCCATTCTTTCACTACAGAATACGAACGAGAACTTTGGCCGTACACACCATCCAGCCTTCCTTTAATAATTTTAGGTGCTAACCCTTCTTTTGTCAAAAACTTTATGACTGGTCTATACTCAATTTGCGTTATGTGCGACATCAATTTTTTCTTCGACTTCAATTTTTTTTTTCGCAGCCTACTAAGATATATATTGAAAAGAAGACAATGTCGTACACCCACTTGGTAGTAAATGTCTTTAGATTTACAAGTACGTAAGAGTTCGATCGGCAGTTGAATTCTGAAATCGCCATGTCGAATATTCTCCGAATTGTTCGCATTGGATCGGGCTTAGCGATTTCGGCAAATATTCGGAAACTTTGGTAGAAACGAGGGGATTCGTTTTCATGAAAATTTTATGCAAATGTAATCTTATAAGGATTTAACGCCCTGCGCGTCAAATACAAAAAAGAAAACCATAATTTATTTTCGGAATTAAAAATCGTTCCGTTAAATCGCGGGTTTCCGTCTGCCCCCGTTTTATATCAATTCCGCGCGATGAAGGAGAAAAATTCATGTTTCAACTCTGGACGGCTGCCACCAAAATTAGTTTAGGTTTCTGGAGGTTCGAATTGGAGCTGCCCCAAAAACAAACTGTAGTGGCTGATTCATTATATTTTGACACCTATATCAGATAAAGTTTCAAAAATTTATGGTTTATTGACATTCCATTCAACGGTTTTTGCAATATTTCAGTTTAAAAATAAATATCATTCGATTTCTGGACAGTAGCCATATTGTTTAAGAATAGTCAAGTAAGCCTTGATAGCGACCACATTATCTGTGTTTGCAATTGTTTTGACAATAAGCTATTATCTTCATTCGGGTTTAAAGGCCGTCGTCGATTGGAATTACTTCCTAACGTTTCGCTAGCACGAGTGGCGAGCTTCTTCAGAGGTCCTTCCATCTCCGATGTTGGACGTAGACTGACGATTTCTCCTGCGCAGGTTGTATTTATGCCGATTGGTGGAGGACGGGGCTTGTTCCGCTTCGGTTGGTCTCGGGATATCGATCGGTACTGCTCGGGCGTTCCTAAGGATCGGGTTCCAGATTTGGTTGAGTCTAAGGGTCTCCTCCTTTCGGTTGAAATTGTGTGGGTGTTTTTGAATCTCAATGGCTTCCCTGACTAGTCTGTTGTGATAGCCGTTGACCGATGCTAGTAACTTACAGCTCTCAAAGTGTATCCTGTGTTCCCCGCTGCCCAGTGCGTGTTCAGCCACTGCAGACTTCTCTGTATGTCCTAGCCTGCAGCTTGCTTTATGCTCCTTAAGTCTCGTTCCCATTGATCTCTTGGTAGTTCCGATATAGACCTTTCCGCATGAACACGGAATGCGGTAGACTCCCGCAGCTGAAAGTGAGCCCCTCTTGTCCTTCGCTGACTTAATGGTCTGCTGGATCTTCTTTGTAGGCTTAAAGATTGTTTTGATGTCGTGTCTTTTCAATACTCTGCCAATCCTGTCGGTGACACTCGGAATATACGGCAGATATGCGTGGGAGGTGGAGGGTCGTTGTTCGGTATCCCGTGATTTTGATGATCTTGAGTTCATTGATCTCTCGATCTCCCTCTTACTGTAGCCATTTGCCTCGAACGCAGTTTTTAGGTGTTCAAGTTCCATCTGGAGGTTCTCCGGTTCGCAAATCCTTCGGGCTCGTTCTGTCAGGGTTCTGATAACCCCATACTTTTGACTTGGGTGATGGTTGGATAGAGCATGCAGGTATCTGTCCGTATGGGTTGGTTTTCTGTAAACTGTGTGGCCCAGCTTGTTACCTCGCTTCCTCACTAGTACGTCCAAGAATGCAAGTTGTCGGTCATTTTCAGTCTACATAGTAAACTGGATGCTGGGATGCTGACTGTTGAGATGCTGCAGAAAGTTGTTGAGCTTGTCCATACCATGTTTCCAAATCACGAAGGTGTCATCCACGTACCGGAACCACGTTGCTGGCTTGTACTCTGAGGTCTCGATCGCTTTTTCCTCAAAGTGTTCCATAAATAAGTTGGCTATAACCGGGCTTAGTGGGCTTCCCATTGCCACTCCGTCCAACTGTTCGTAGAAGTTTCCCTTCCACACGAAATAGCTACCGGTCAGACAGACTTCAAAAAGTTTGCAAATATCGACAGGAAATATCCTGTTCACCAGGTCCAATCGACGACGGCCTTTAAACCCGAATGAAGATAATAGCTTATCAACGGGCCGCGAAAGCCTTAACCAATTTGTTTTGACAATGTTCTACTTTTGACAACTAATCGAAATATGTAGAGTAAGTTATATAGCTTAACAAAATAAG